CAGCTATATCTGGAGAGATTGACTGACGCATAATCAGGAGGCCAGGGTCTCTGAATCCTACCTTCCATTCCCCATCTCTGCCTCACCAGTTCCCCAGGCACGTGTAAACTTTTACAACCACCTGGGTAATCTCTGAAGCAGTTTCCTACTTCAGGAAAACAAGCAGGCCAAACAACCCATGGCTTCTCTTTCTTCCTTTTACTTTCCTAATCCATTCCTAATCTCAGCTTTATTTATGGTTCTGAAGATTTCCAAGAACAGAAAGAAACACACACATTAAATCACACTGACTTATTTGTACCTCACACAGTAAATCCTCTCATGGGATCTAAGTGGGTGAAATCGCTAATGTTCCTGCATCTTCCTGAAATCGGTCCTTGAGTTTGGGAGAAGAATGGGGGCAGGAGGAGCCGCCAGCATCCCCTGAAAGCCAAGACACCAATAAACAACAGGAACTTGAGCCTTAGTTCCCATAGGTCCAGGTAGACCGAACACCAGACCACACAGCTATCACTTTCCACAGCCTTCTCTCCACCCACGGGAGAGAGAGTGCAAGCAGAATCACAGTGAGACAGCATCAGCTTCAACTCCTGGCTCCACAGAAGTCAATGCTTCTCAGACACTGCAGACCTCCTGGGGAGAGAGAAAGCTGGCTTCCAAGTAGGAACTTCGTCATACTCGGTGGTGGCTTTCAAGAAAGAGGTGGTGGTCATCTGTCAGGAGTTGTGGAAAGGATTGCTCCTGTGACTGGAAGTTGGTACTCTAGCCCCTTTCAATGCTGAGTTCCTGTAATTCCCCGACCACCAGCCAGTGGTCTGGCTGCTGCTTATCCTGCCATCTCTTTACCTGCTCATGAGTGATCAGCTTGCTTGCAACTGGAAGGCGCATGGGCGTGTGTGGCAGGGGGTGGGAATATGACTTGAAACTGCTCATTGTCCTTAGGCAAACTCCTCAGGTAAAACATTTTACATGAAACCCCCAAGGGCTTCATTGGACTGCATGGACAAAACTGTTGACAGGAAGGGAGATGAATCACCCCAAACACCTTTCCCAGAGTTAACTTATAAATGCCCCTGCCACCCCCTTTCTACAGACAAGGAGCTTTTGGATTAAAGAAGTGAGGTGAGGTGTCCAGTGTTCCGATATTAATGACTTCATCCAGATTGAGCACAGGTTTAAGTTCATGGCGAAAGAAACTGTATTCTTCACCTATATGTACATGTAATTTGGGTAGCTCTAAGCGCAAGTGTGTAGAATCAACATCTGTATATGAATAATATGAAATTCCAATAATTTTTTTTTTTTTTTTGGTTTTTTCGAGACAGGGTTTCTCTGTGTAGCTTTGCGCCTTTCCTGGAACTCACTTGGTAGCCCAGGCTGGCCTCGAACTCACAGAGATCCGCCTGGCTCTGCCTCCCGAGTGCTGGGATTAAAGGCGTGTGCCACCACCGCCCGGCGAAATTCCAATAAATTTTAATTGTAAACTCAATCTAAAAAACTGTTTTGTTCTATGCTATAAAAATTCAACCTGAACAAGAAAGTGAGGCTCAAATACCTGATGTGCATGGTGAACCCAATGACGCAGGCTGAGCCCTCCTATTCCTCTTGCACCTTCTGTGTGGAGCCAGCAGCAGTCCAGCTGTATTGCAGTCTGTGACCTTCCATGTCATCATGGATAGGGCAAGCAAGGAAGACAGCCATCGATGTAAGGAGAGGCGCAGACCTCCATTCCTAGACACTTCCTGACAACAGGCCTCTGCTCCAACCATACTGTCAGTCATTCGGTCATTCATCACTTACATTCTGGATCATATCTTTATTATTATTGTTTTAGTGCTTAATTAAACGTTATGGTTTCATGTAACTGTATTTTCACTCCCTTGCAGGCCTGACAATGCCTTTTGGTTTCAAATCGCCCGGAGCCCCAAGGCAGGCCCTGATATTGATTTTTTTTTAATATGGGTGAGTAATACCCACTGTTTTTCTAATGCGCTCTTCGCACATGGGATTGTAAAAGTAAACAGTGCTTTTACACCATCTGTTTGAAAGCTGTTAGCTTTTTAAAATACAGGCACTATTTAAATTGTAAATGGCCCTTACGCAGAAGTTACTTTATACATTCACATTTATAACTGTAAAAATAATATACTTATAGGTTATGCTCCAAACCAAATGATACAAACCTGTTTAGGAGAACATGACGTAAAATGTTCCCATAGATCCCCACGAAGGCAAATGTTTACAGGAAAGTTGCCAGGGAACCCAAAGAGATGTGGATGTAGGTGCACTCCCTGGCCCTCCACACCGCCCACCCTCTGGTCTAGAGGACAGATTCCTTTTTTCAGTTCCCTAGGGCTCTCATTACGATTCTGGTTCTCAGTCACAGTAACCTTTGAAATTAAGCCATTGAGTTCTTGGGCCACAAATCAATGTGCTTACTTGATGGGATTGGAAGTGACAAAGGAAGATTCTGGGGGCCTGCTGTGGGCTTTCAAGGGTTGTGGTAGAGAGTACCTGAGAGAGGCCGTATGTGCTTCATTTCCTTGGCTGCTGAGAGGAACGGAAGACAGAGAAAGAATGACTATGAAGACAACAGAGTTGCTGCCCTCTCTCCTATCTGGCTTTAATATCTGAGGCAGAGGGTGACAGCAATCTGTGGAAGGTGCAGTTCGGGTCTGGCCTCCTAGGGATGAAGGGTTGGGATGCATTTCAGGAATGAGTTTGGGACTCGGAAATCCCAGTTACTTGCATGTCTGTGGTAACGAGGATGGATGACAAACAGGAGAGAAAACCCTAGCAGGGGATAGCATAATACACAGAGAACAGACTGTTAAATTGTAGTTGGCCTGTAAAACAGAAGGCAAAACCCAAATCGAGGCCCTCCGCCCATGCTCCAGTTACACAAATGCCATTTGATTTTCTAAGAAAGGTGGGTTTTAAAACCGAAGCTATGAAATCCAGATGCGGTTTTTCCTATGGGTAACTCTGCTCTGTGTGTTTTGGTTTTAACAAGTTAAATGTAAGAAAAGCATTAGTTCCTCTTTGGGACAGGAAGCTGGAAGACAGGCCTGACTGCCCAAGGCTTTGTGCTCTGGAGCCACCTTCCAACAATTTTAACTCGTTATCTCTACACTCATGGTGTGTGTGTGTGTGTGTGTGTGTGTGTGTGTGTGTGTGTGTGTGTGTGCGCGTGTGCCATAGCCTGTGTGTGGAGGTCAGCAGACAACCTCAGATCTTCCTTCCACTTTGAGACATGCTCTCCTGTCCTCCCTCTCCGTCTTCCCCTAAGCGAGCTGGCTCAGGAACTTGCAGGGATTTTCCTGTCTCCACCCCCAATGGCCTCTGGATTTCAGATGGGCACTACCCTGTCTCATGTCATGTGGGGACCCACACTCACCCCCTCAGGGTTGCGGGAGCCATGCAAGCCCTCTATTCATGAGTCACCTGCTCACTGGCTCCTTTACTTCTTCCCCATGGTTTCCCTGGCTGCAAGGCGCGTGAGAGATGTGTGGTGGTTGATTTACGGGTTTTTAGGAAGTGTGGCATCCATGGTTGTAGAAGTCATGCAGGGAGAAGAGGAGATTGGGGTCCAAGAAGCCAGTCTGGAGGCCATGACAGCTTCTCCCCGGCCATCACACACTGCCCAAACTGGAAGAGACAATGGAAAGGAAGAAGACTGACCTGGATTAGAACTGTGTTCTACGATCGTCAAAAATCTGTGACTGACTGGCTCTGTCAGCTCCTACTACAGTAACCAAAGTGACCAACCCCAGGTACGTATTATTTACTCTCTTTCACAAGTACAGTCTTACCCGGTGGGGTGGTGATGATGGCTCAGGCCTTTAATCCCAGGCAGAGGCAGACGGATCTCTGCGAGTTCCAGGCCAGCCAGGGCCATTACACAGAGAAACCCTGTCTCGAGAAACTAAAGCAACAACAAACAAACAAACAAACAAAAAACAAGTACAAAAAACTATGCCTTTGGAGCCAGAAAAAACACTAGTGGAAAAAAATCAAAACAATTAATTGAACCATCTTGACTTAAAAATCATTGAATGAAGATTTGACAAATGTACTCTTTCTTGGGTTCTTACAATTTATTTTACACAATAAGATGACTCACGAAATAGTAAATGAAACTGGATTCCTTAAATCCAAAACCTAGGTTTTAACAATAGGCATTTAAATTTAAGTTTTCTTGTGATTGCATTGCATTGAGGAACAGAGTTCCTTTGTGGTAGAAACATGATCGGTCCAAAAAGCAAGCTTGTCGTCTTCATCCCCTGCTTCCTGTTTCTTATTTAACTTAGTGGCATAGTCAAGAGGCAGCTAATTCTTGAAGTCCTAAATCAACAGGCTTGGGAGCGGCAAGGGGGATGTTGGAAGGGGTGTACTGAGCCACACGAAAAACTATAAAATCTCCCACAGGCAGAGTCTACTTTGATTTAAGCTAGGTTGAAGAAATTCAGCTCTTGCCTGGAGCAGCAAAGCAAGAGGCTTAATTCAAGCCCTGCGGGGCAGGAGGCAGGTGCCACAGAGACAAAGCTTCTGTGGAGGATGGAGATCAGGATGTATCCCTATAAAAACCGAACAACTGGTGTCCAGGGCATCTGGTGGAAAGTGGGAGGCAGGAAGCAGAAAGGCTCAAGCTCCCTTTGCTGGATCTGCCCGGGCATTTAATTTCTGCTAATGTCCATTGGGACACAGCGTTAAGCTTGGAATCTCAAGCCTAGTGAGTCCTGCCTTCATCCTTGAAGAACTAGGCTCGGCAAAGTGGTTTTAACACTCCTTGTGGGTTTTGATAACTTCTATCCTGAGAGTTGCCAAGGCAGAGAGGTGCATCTAATTCCATCCACATTTCTCCAGAGATTGCAAAAACACAGACAAGACAACCAAGAGTGGGAGGGACGGGTGCCAGGCGGGAGCCGCCAGACAGGGCTGTGGTGCATGCCTGCTGGCACAGGCAGCCTAGACCGTCCCCCACGTTGGCACCAAGAGCCCGCCGAGTTCCGTGCCCCGCTCTGAGCCTCGGGACCGACAGCCCAGGGAGGGGTGGAGGTCGGGCTCCGGGCAACAGTGCTCCTAGCGCTCTTAGCCAGCGACGGAGGCCGACCCTTCGGGTCCCGTGCGATCCTCCAGCCGCCCCCGGGGCCGGGACAGCAGGGCGGCGGCGCGAGCGTGGGAGGGGGCTCCAGGACTCTGCCGGCCCCGCCCCGCCCCCTCCTCGGGGACCCGGAGCCTAGCATGGACCACACTCGGCGCCGCAGCCATGGCGCTCGCCCGCTGCGTGCTGGCTGTGATTTTAGGGGCACTGCCCGCGGTGGCCGGCGCTGATCCCGCCTCGCCCTCGCCCCTGCACCGCCCGCAAACGTCCCCGCCGCGTCCCCCACACGCGCGCTACCTTCCCAGCCCGCGGCGGCCACCGAGGATCCCGCGCTTCCCGCTCCCGCCAGGGGTACCGGCTGCCCAGCGCTCGCAGGTCCTCACCGCCCGGCACACGCCCCCAGGGCTCCCACGCGGCTGCGGGGCAGGAGAGCTGTGGGGCAACACCACCGACCTCGGCGTCCCGTGTCTGCACTGGGCGAAGGTGCCGCCCTTCTTGGAGCGGTCGCCCCCGGCTAGCTGGGCTGAGCTGCGAGGGCAGCCGCACAACTTCTGCCGGAGCCCTGACGGCGCGGGCAGACCTTGGTGCTTCTACCGGAATGCCCAAGGCAAAGTGGACTGGGGCTACTGCGATTGTAGTCAAGGTGAGTGGTGTCCCCCGCGGAGGTGGCAGCTGGGGACTGGGCACGGAGGCAGCCTGGCTCCGGGGACAGTATCTGTGTACCCGGAGACAGGGGGAAGGGGTTGCCGGTTTGCACTGTGGTGTGGTGGTGGGCTGGGTAGCCACGTAACTAGTACAGTGCATTCATTTGTACAGTGTGCCAGTCAGCAAAGCGTGCATCGTGTGACGACTGTCATGGGGACGGTATCTGTGAAGGTTGCTCAGCTGTAACCCCTAGAGAAGGTCTGTGCGGCCACCGTGTGTGTGTGTGTGTGTGTGTGTGTGTGTGTGTGTGTGTGTGTGTGTGTGTGTCTACCCACAATACACACACATTGCCAGAATTATGCATGGTAGTGGGTGTCTGTTGTCTTGTATCAGCTGGTCTTGATAAGGCGCTCTAAAAAAAAAAAAAAAAGTAAAGAAATACATACATTTGCTAACCACTAGTTTGCGAAAGGGAAGAATTAAATGTAAGATGTGTCCCGGCAAACTTTCTTACCTCTATAGACCCGGCTTTGGAAAGCCGTGGTGAAATGTTTGCCTCGCTGCCATTGTTGACTTTAAAGCATGACAAAATTCTCAGGCCCAAATACAAAGACAGTTATGTTCTGGGACTCCGTATGGTAAATAGCACCAGGGGATGAAGAACAAAGGAAAGAGAGGGGCAGGACAGGAACTGCCTCAGTAGCCAAGGAGGCAGCTAGAGTCAAACGGAATCTTCGGCAGAACCATTCCCTCAGCTGTGGGTCTCACTTATGGAAAAATCGGAATTAAGAGTCCACTTTCAACCTCGGCAAAGAAGGTTCCTAGCGTATCTTAGGTTTGTGGTAAGCCAAAGTTTCACATTCATTATTTGAATGCAAATAATCATCTACCTTCACACAGTACTTTACTCTGAAATTAATTTCCTCGTAATTGATATTGAGGTTTTAAAATTGACTCTCTCCTAGTAGAGCAAAACTTTGGCTGTTTTCAATGGCACTCTGTGATAGTTTCATAGATTTCCTGAAGTGTGTGCTTCCAGCCTTTGGAGGTAACCTTCCCCAATGTCACCCCTTTTTCACAGACAGTTTATTTATCTTTGCCTTCAATTGAGTTAGTGCTTCAAGTTAAAGGAAAGTGATACGAAGGTTAAGATCAATTATTCTTCATCCTGGAGAATGAAGTCATCGCTGTACTCATGATTCATGGACAGAATGCCAATGTGGCTGTAAAAAAAAAATCAAGATGATGTCAAGCAAAGAGCTCTGCTGTTACCTCATTTACTCTAAGATCATTTTAATAAAGTCTTGTGTCTAGCAACAGCATTGGCAGCTTTTTATTATTATGCTTAGTTTTGTAACTAGACATGATAGAGAATTATTAGGAAATTAATAGGTAAGAAACTATAGACTGTTTTCCCTTCAAAACACAGTAAAAAGGAATTCAAAGTTAAAATATTGTGGTCATCTATTTCTCCTTTCAAATGCACAAGTAACTTTCAGTTTTATAGTCTTAGTGAAGAGAATAGTTTATCTTTGAATTCCCTACTACCCTCTCTTTGGAGAGAAATTAAAATTTTTTTCAATACCTTTAGGTTCAGAGTTAGTGTTTAGCAGCCAAAAATCTCAAATGTGGTCGCGTTTAGGTAACAAAATATAAGGGAAACAGAAGAAGCTACCCATGATGAGCAACAGACACAAGGAAGAGATTGCCTATGTAATACCAAAATTACTCTTACAGGACCCAACCCTGATAACCAAAGCCTTGGGCTCTGTCACTCACTCCTGCAAGTCTGGATAGCTATACTCCATGCTTCTGAGACCTCTGGCATACTCTGAATCGTATAGTGTTCTTATTCCCACACATTTCAGTTGGGGGTTTGGACAAGAATACTATATAGTAATGAAAGAATGTTGAATTGTTCTTTAGAAAACATTGATGTTGTTTTGACACAGCAATGTTGGGTAAGACTCCTAACATTAGAGCTTTGGGTTTCTCTATGAAAAAGAAAAACAGGGTGTTTAAAAAGATTTCTTTGTTTATTTGTATGTATGTATGCCTTGTCTCTAAGTATGCACATGTGTGTGTGGTGTGTGTGTGTGTGTGTGTGTGTGTGTGTGTTCATACACTCGTGTGTTCTCCATACCTTATGTGCCCTTCATTTAAAGCCCAGAAGAAGGGAACTGGATGGCCTCTTCTACCACTCTCTACCTCTTCTTTTGACATGAGGTCTCTCCCTGAGATCTCTTGTCTCTGCCCTCCTCAGAGCTGCTGTTCAAGACAGGGCAAGATGTCGCACTTGTTTGTTATGTGGGAGCTGGGATCCAAACTGCAGCCACCACGATTACACAGTCAGCACTCTTTGCTGCTGAGGCATCTCTCCAGCCCCAGAAAATCAGTTTTTAAGCAAATTAATTAAAAGAATTTTTCAAGCTCTGGGCATGTACTCAGAATGACCTTGTCTATTTATTACAGTTAGGACTTATGGAACACCCATTCTGTGCTGGGTGCTGGACTAAGAATTTGATGTTTGTTTTATTTATTTTTCATAGTCATCTTTATAAAGGAGCCCCTACATTTTCCTGTTGGAAAATCCTAAAGGAAGATTGCCAGGAAAGCAGAAAAAAAATATGATAGGATGTGCACATAGATGTGTGCGTTTTCATTTCACAGCCCATTTTGCTCCATTTCTTTATCGGTATGCAATGTAGAAATCTCTGTGCTGTGTTGCAACACTCACTTGTTAGCTCATAGGCTAGTCTAAGGGCAGAAAGAAAGAAGAGTAATTATGTTTAGTGTAAGTACAATGCACATTATTTTAAAGGTATTTTTTTCCTTTACAGAAAACTGGAGCAAAAGAAAAGACTAAAATATAGAAATGTGATCCCTCCTTTAAATCTTAAACTGGGGTCAGAGTAGAGTTTCAAGTCCCATACAGAGAAGTGAGGAAGTAGGGCCCTCCTGCATGTTGCAGAAGGAACAGGGTGGACATTTCAGGTGAGCGGAATGTGAACAATCCATTAGCTCACGTATCAGAGCAGGAAGTGTAATGCTTTGGCCCTGGCTCCAAGAAACTTACCTATTAGTAATAAAATATCTTTCTGGGGATTGGGATACCCAAATCAATCCAGGAGTTAGTTCTCACAGGGAACATTAAACTGTACCTCGAGAGACTGGTGCAATGATTCAGCAGGTAAAGCTATTTGCCTTTGAGTCTGATGACCCGAGTTTGATCCTGGGACTCACATGATGTAAGGAGAAAACTGACTCCTTCGAGCTGTCTTTCAGCTTCCCCATGTGTAACATGGCATATGTTTCTCTCTTGGTCACCGTTCTACTGCTGTGAAGGAACACCATGCCCTAAGCAATTCTTATAAATGAGAGCATTTAATTGTGGGCTTGCTTACAATTTCAGAGGTTAGCCTATTATCATCCTGGTGGGGAGAATGGAGGCAGACACGCTGCTGGAGAAGTAGCTGAGAGTTCTACATCCCAATCTGTAAGCAAATGAGAGAGGGAGGGAGGAAAGGAGGGAGGGAGAGAGAGAGAGAGAGAGAGAGAGAGAGAGAGAGAGAGAGAGTGAGTCTGGGTTTGGCATGAGCTTTCGAAACCTCAAAGCCAGTGGCACACTTCAATGGCACTTCAGTGGGACACAACAATGTCACACTTCTTATTCTTTCTGATTCTTTCATATAGTGACATTCCTTGGTGACTGAGCATTCAAATATATGAGCCTATGGGGGACATTATTATTCAAATCATTCCACCTCCCCCCAAAAATAAATGTGAAAAACATCTAAAAATTCACCTAGCCACTTGTTAAAATTCTTGGGCTCTAGCCTCAGCGTCCTAATTCCCACGTCCAGATCACGAATTGCATGCTTCCCTTCTAAGGTGAAGCGATGAGGTGCTGTTCAGGTGACTCTTTCAAACCCCAAGAAAACCTACAGGAAAGCATCAGGGCCTTGCTAGAATGTGTAGTGAAGGTCAATGATGTCAGCCATCTTGTGACTTTACCTTGCTAGATCGTAGCCTCAGAGAAGGCATAAGACATGCCAACATTGGTTTCCTGTGTGGTCTTATAGTACAACATCCTTGGTATTTGCTTTGCCTGTGTGTGGTGATAACAGCATAGTTTACCGGAACATCCATCTTCACTGAGTGGGAGCAAGAGGCCACTCTCATATTTCCACAGGCAGCTGACCGCTTCCCTCCGACGATCCTTTGCAAGGAGACAGTGAGTGCTTCCTGACTCAGAGTGGCAATCATTTTCACAGTCTCAAGTTGTCACCGCAGAAGGGGCAACTTACTGGACTCTGTTCTGGGAATTCTCCTTTTTAACCAGCAGTGAATTAGTCTCAGGCGGAAGATGGCAGATGAGTAGTAACACAGGTAGACTACGTGATGAAGGTTCAGAGGACTATGTCAGCTTCTCATCACTGTGACAAAGCATCCGAGTTGATAATGTGAAAGGGGGGAAGGTTTTCCTAGGCTTCTGTTTTCGGAACTTTCAGCCCATGGTCCATTTGGCTCCATTGTTCTGAGGGCTCTCCTGAGGCAGAGCGTCAGGGTGGGGTGCTGACGGAGTGCAGCTGCTCATGGCCTGCCAGCCAGGAAACAGAGAGGAAGATTAGGGCCTGTGGTCCCAATTCCTTTTCATGTGCTTACCCCACAATTACCTATCTTCCTCTGACCACACATCACCCATCTCTCAACATACTCACAGGCTAGTGGCCAAACCGTGGCACTTGGCTTTTTGGGGAACATTTAAAAATCCCAAGTCATAACAGAATGATCTCCAGATCTAACCTCTTATCATCTCATGCTAGTCTGGTCCTAAGTACTTAGCCACCCAAAATCTCTTAGTTCAAATAGACATGCTGGACACACAGGCTAAATATTGCTGTTTATAGACATTCCTCTTGGAAGGCCATATGCTGTTTGAAGTGAATATCAATTAAAAAGTTAGCCTAGCAGACATAATGGCTCATGCCTACAATC